TTAAAGTATACTAATTTTACTATAGTTCTCTGAGGAGCAAAATATCATTTTCATAAAAATTCAGCTTCGGCACAAGATGTAACATACATTATTTGCATAGAGTAATTTGTAAAGTTACATTCATTCAAATGTTATCAATAGAAGTATTTAATGATTGACAGAGACAATTAGATACTTTTGTTGCTGGAATTGAATTATATTTTATAAAAGAATTGAATTATATTTTATAAAAAGACTTACAGAGATGATAAACTTGAGCAAAAAATTAAATGTAATTTTTATTTAAAAAACTCATTTTTTAATAAATACTTGGTAGAGATGCAAAAGAAATATTTCTTGTTTTTGAATGTTTTAAGTTTTTAATTGTGTATGTATCAAATTTAGGGAAGCATATGAGAAAACATATACTAGTTGTCAAATGAGCACTTGTATAAGTGAGTCCCACAAAATTTTTCGTTGTCTAATAAATATGATATTTAAAATCATTTTAATAGCCATAGAAAAACAAACATGCTATGATTAAAATGATACAGAACTCCTCACTTAAAAGCCACACTGGACATGTCAAGGCTTTATTGTATTTTTGTTTTCACTTTATATATAATAAAATGGTTTTCATGATTCATAGTTTTATTTTTAAATTTAATATGTAAAAATACAGAAGTGAGAGCCAAAATACAACCAGGTACCTGTTATAAACTACACTAAAATATTTTAAGAAGGAATTTTACTCAAGAAGTCCAATTTACAAGATGCATTCGGAATTCCTTCTCTAGGTCTAGCATGTTTAAATCATACAAGATTTAGTGTAGCAAAAGAGAATACCTTGCATTATTAGTATAAAAATAACTAGAATATTTAGATGATAATTTTATTCAAATACATAATTGGTTAATAAATTTAACATTTATGTATTTGACATAACAAATAGTTCTTCAAAAATCTAACCTTATCTTTTCATGAAATAAGGTAGAAACTATTTTACTGTAGAAAAAATGCAAGATAAAATATAAGGTATATTTTGATTAGCCATCTATTTTGAATAGTTGAATAGAAATTAATAGCAATAATCCTGTGAAACTTGTTATAATGGAAATAATCAGAAATCTTTCACTATACAAAAAAGTGTAAAGATATCTTCCTTCTTTGCTATTTAGAAAATACTCCATTGATATTTAGACAATGTTCTTTAATGATATTTATTATTATTCAAAGAAAAGAATGTTATTTGATACAGTTGGCCATCCTGGTACATGAAAGAGATACTAAATTACATGCTACTCATAAATTCAAATACATTTTGAAAAATTTTGTATTTGTAGGTAAATTACTTTTTGAGGATACCTGATATGCATAGATGTAAGTCAATTTCACTAAAAATGTAAGTTAGAACTACATTGTGCATAGCCCTTAGCATGGATTTAACATTTGTAAAAGTTCATAGACAAACCTTCAGAGGATAGCTTCTCCAACCTATGCCAAAAGCATGTTTACTTCAGACAAAAGCAGTAACTATAGAGATTCAGGCCTTAGAAGGAAAGAGTCTGATTCCTTTCCTCTTACCTAATAATTTGGAATTTCATGATGGCACTATACAGAATCATTTCTATTCAAATAATACAATCCATGTGTCTGTGCTCTGCAATATGATAAAACCTCTGAGACATCAGAGCTAAATGCAAATAATCTTTGTAACTTCTGCATAGTATGTGGCATAAATGTACATGAAAATCTTGCTTGGTAAATAGTTACTGAATTAGAAAGGTACTGAACAGGATGTTTTTTCACTTAACTGCACACAAATGTTTTATAAACATGATAGGTGCATTATGCATATATCCATACACTTTTTCTTTTACTCTAATATATCATATGACAGCAATAATATATAATTATCACAATAGAATCAGGAGTAATATGCCTTATGTAATTTCAAGCTGCATCATTTTTGTGCAAGATTTTTAGGTTTTCATATACTAAAATAAAATACCCAGAATTATTTTACATGTTTTCTTCAAAAAGTAACATGTGTAAAAATTCCTGAAATAAACAGAGTGTCTCCTCTTCATTTTGTATCTTCTGAAACCAAAGAGCCTCAAATTAACAATACATTATTTCATGGAATTTTTAAAGTTAGCTGCTTATATGACATAAAACTCATATATATATATATATATATATATATATATATATATATATATATGTATATATATACATATACACACATATTTATTTATATGTATATATTATTGTTTTCCTCAGTATGTCTCTAAATTTTATATTAACCAAAAAGCCTTAGGCAATTTGGATTGTTTCAACTACAAACCTAATCTTTTAAGACCTGATGTTCTGACATGCCTGAGGATCAACATTCCTTGTATTCCTTTCTATTACCTTGACCTCAGAGAATGCTAATCACTTCTATAAATGGATTAATTTACTCTTCTACCAAAATAATATACTTAGGGTTTTCTCAAGCCTTGAAACATGCTAAGTATTAAACATTATAATCATTCTTTTCTTTCTTCAAAGAAATTAATTGCAGGCTTAGGCTGTCCTCTTTTCAGCATTTTATACGCAGAAGTATGGATACTGTTACTTCTACTGTAAATGAAATTGTAGATTAGATTTGTGTCATACATAACATTTACTTAATAAAATGTTTAATCATTTCTTAACTGAATCCGGACCACATCTATCATGAAAAACAATGGTCTGAAAGAATACAAAACAATTCTGAACAATATAGCTATGACAAATAATACATGAATGCTTTTTTGAATATTGGTATGATTTAAACAGACAAATGCAGATAAATCTACATGAATATCGCATCTGGTTCACTGACTGGCTTATCATTTTGAAACTGTCACATGTCAGTAGATATATAAACACTGGTAGAAAATAACAAAGAAGCATATTTCTGTAAACTGCAGTGTTTTCTAACTCGCATGAAATAACCATGCAATCGTCATGAAACAAACTCTTCTTCATGCGAGGTAATTAACCATTAACTCTTCCTCATGGGAAGACAATTGTGTATCTAAGAAGAGTTTAACAAATATAACACAAAAATGCTCAAATAGTTATAGTAATTCCTTTTGCAATCATGTTTTGAAAAAACAGTATGTCAAATTCACATAATCTTATTATAGTCAAAAGTGATGATTATTATATTCCAATTCACCTTTGAGATGAGTTTTATTAAAGATATATAATTGATACTGAACTGCATTCAGATATACAATTGATGCTGTTTAAACATCTCTAAACTTTTTCTATGAAATGTGTTTCTATATTGAGAATATTTTTTCTTTAAAACCTTACCATATGACTACCAACTAGCTATCCAAGTAATACTTAATATGACAAGCTTGACTGTGACTTATTTTAAAAAATATTGTGAATAGTAAAAGAAATGTAGTTATAGGGGAGGAAGGAGAGAAATTTAGCTTTAGTCAATTGTTACTGTTACTTAAGTATGTGTTTATATTTCAGATATGGTACTATGGTTTGTAAATAACAATGAATTTTGGAAATGAACTTAAAACTTTTGTCTTCTTCTGTTTCTTCCCCTCTTTCTTCTGTTATAATTTTCTTTTAATCTAATTTTAAGAAAAGTTTCTTGGTGCTTTGTACTCATATTGTTTAAAACTTGATACTCAAGCAAAACAACAAATCTTCATTTAAAGTTTTCATGTTAAAATATTTTGTTAGATACTTAGTTATTTTACATTAAGAATCTCCTGGTAAGTCTTAATTTGAAAAGGAAAAGTTTAGAAATCTTTTAATGCAGTTTACAATCCTAAGACACCAGTCTTATGCATTTCTTAAATTTAATAGAAAGTGGTGTGCTTACCATTTATTGGGATTGTCTTCTTGACCAGAATGTTGATTTTGTTAGGTTGTTTGAGAACCTCTAGAATTATTTACTGAAAGTTGGCATTTAAAAATAAAAATTTAATTTAAAAAGCCATGGAAATACATTCTTTTGACACGATATAAAATATTTTAAACCACACATCAGTATAATGAATCATTAATCATTTCTATTTTATATGTAACGATTTACAGCATACTGGTCATAACATAATTTTTATTTTACACCTACGTTTGTAAACTGTAAATTGACTTTGTAAAAGCCCATGTTGTCAGTCAGTATTAGTAACAGTTGTACAATGAGTAGCAAATTCAGATTGTACTTTTTAAAGTATCCATATATAGACTTCTTACTCAGTGATCTTTTCAGAAGTGGTTCAAGCTGAAATGGACTCCCTCAAAGAGAGGCTGAATGTACTCACCACGACTGCGAAAGTACAGTTACCAATCAGAAACCGTCAAATCCTCAAATCACTTGGGTTTCACATTTCCCTTTACCGAACTGTATTTTAGATAGGGAGCATCTTTTGCTCGTCTCTTTACTTTCATTCATCAGTTTATAGACTATTAACTGAAACTCCTTTAAGGTATATGGCAAACATCGCCGTGCTGAAAAGCATGTCATAGGCGGGTCCGTTCATTTTTAGAATTGTCTTAGACTTCAACCGCTAACCCATAGCTCCTTCACCGACTGATTTCCCGTCTCCTGCCACTGTGCATTTCCCTCCCGTACACTCTGCCCACTTGGACAATATCACCTCCTCTTTATAACCCTTCTGCTTTCTCTGTTTGTTTTCTCGACTTTTTTTTCTCTTTCCATTGTCATCAACATCCCTGCAAACCTGCGCTCTGAGGTGAGCCTTTAGATCTATCGCGGTAGTGATAGCCCACACCCACTCAGAAAGAAAATGATGAGGATAGTACAATGAAGAGCATATACATTACAGAAGTTCCCACGACCGTAATATGTTTCCAGGCGCGCCCTTAACAAACACTGAAATATTACTGCTCCCTGCCCCCCTCCGTTTAGCTTCCTCCACCAGCAAGCAGTGGAGGAATTTTGTGGTCTACTACACCCTCTAGCGCTGAACAGAGATACAAGCCGCTGCCGCCAAGCGGGAGAGCGCCAGACCCGGCAGAGCTGCGCCGCGCTCGCCCTTCTTCAGCCCTACGCCCGGCAGGGGGGCGAGAGCGTGGGGCCTGCAGACTCCGGGGGCCCTCTTCAGCTGCGCGCCTAGAGCTCTGGACTTGGGGTGGGTGGTTTCAAAGAGTCGCCCTCGCCGCCGTTTGGAGCGACTGAAGCGGGGAGGGGAGCGAGGACAGAGGGCGCGCGGGACGCGGGGAGAGCGATCAGCCCGCCACGCACCGGGCGCCGCTGGGAACGTGGCCACGCACCGCGCGCGCTCAGCCCTCGGGCAGCTCCAAGCGCGCAGCCCGACGCCGCCACGCCTGGGGCCCGCGAGAACCCCAGAACCCCATCACTGTGGGCTCGTGACCTCCACTTCGAAGTCGTCGCTGCACCGTGACGCGAAAACCTCGGTGGGCCCGGGTACGAGGTACCCGCAGGGGTCAAGCCTGATGTGACTTCCCTTTGCTGCTCCTCCCTCCCCGCGCCCCATCGCTTCCCAAGGACTCAAAGCAGCGGAGGCGACCACGGGGCGAGTGTCTCGCCTTGCTGAGCAAGTTTGGGCGACTGGTGCTGAGCAGCGGCCGGGCTGACCACCTTTGCCACCAAGCTCTGCCGGTGACCCGTAGCGGTGGCCCAAAACACTCATCTCCTCCAGCGGCGGAAATGTGGGGAAGTGAGGGGTAGGCAAGGTCGGCAGCTGACTCGTCTTAAAACGGTCAGCGTTGTAGCTGCAAAATGGGGGCTAAGTGCTTCAGGGACTGAGCGCAGCCTCGGAGGAGCCGGGAGCGGCTCGCACTGCCTGGGCGCTGCGCGGGTGCAGCGGAGTCGGAGGTGCCCGCCTCGCAAGCCGCTGCCGACGCCGCTCAGGCGCGGGGCTGAGCACTCAGCTCGCAGCTCGCTCGGACCCTTCGCCGCCCCGCGCGGCCGCAGCCCCCGCCCGGCTCTCCTCGCAGCGGCCGGCCGGAGGAAAGTTCTCGCGGCCCCGCCTCTGCTCCGCTGCGGTGCAGCGCCAGCTCCGCACAGCCCGCCTCAGTCCGGAGAGGCGCTCGGGCCGCTTCATCTGCCCCGACCACCTGGTCGGCCCCGCCCCCATCCCCGCCGCGAATCGGCCGCCCCCGTCCCCTCGCTCCCCGCCCCCACACCACAGCCCGAGCTCGCTCCTGCGCGCGCGCTCTCCCGGACCCAAGTGAATAGTCCTCGCGCGGGTGGGACGCGGCGGTGAATGCGTTTCCCCTCGCCTCCAGCCTCCAGGAGGTCCCCGGCGCCCCAGGCAGCTTCAGCCTCCGAAGCGGCTGCCACCGCACCTGGGCAGCCTGGACCCTCGTGCCCTGCTCCCGGGGCCTCGCGCGTTGGGCGCCCCGGGACACCCCCTGCGGGCCGGGTGGAGGAGGAGGAAGAAGAGGAAGAAGAGGAAGACGTGGACCAGGACCCCCAACCTCCCCACAACACCTGGCCGCTCCGCTTCCACTTCTTTCACCCGAGGAGAGAGGAGCCAGCGAGAGCCATGGGGGGCTGCGAAGTCCGAGAATTTCTTTGGCAATTTGGTTTCTTTTTGCCTCTGATGACAGCTTGGCCGGGCTACTGTAGTCACGTCTCCAACAACCAAGGTAAGGGACAGGGTCAGAAGCGGGAGGGGTAGGAGGATGGTCCCTTGCGCGCTGCAACCAACTTGTCTCCGGTCAGCTTCTCCAGGGCTCACCTTACATGTGTCCCTTAACCCGAACACTCAGTCTGCACCATCCGGGACGGCAGCCCTAGGAGCCGTGATTCGTGTGTGCACAGATTTCTTTGAATGGGTGCATAAGCATCAGCGGCACGTGAGTCCCTTCACGGGCTAAAGGGCAGACAGACCCCTTACAGCAAGGTCCGCAGCCTCCGCCAGAGGTCAGACTCCAAGGCACACACTTAACGGAGTTGCCAGCCTCTGGGCTGTTGCACATAACTGGATAAGATATAGATTGTCCTTGCTGTACCCTGGGGCATTTGTCAGCCTGGTGCCTGACTGTGGCTCCCTTCCCCGTTCTCACTCAGCCTTCCAGCCCACTCTGGATCACAGAATGTAGACTGCTTTGAAATTATTCCTAGACCAGATGCTCAAAGATCTGTGTTGTAGTTTCTGTTTTGTGAGAGAGGGAGGTAGGTAAATGTTGAGTGTGAATTTTCCAAGTTGTGAAATTCCTAGTCAAAAAGGCAGACCACTGTCAGATTTTTAAGGACTTTGTTTCCTTGAGTAAAGTGGTGGAGTGCGTGAGGGGAATGGAAAACACAAAATTTTGAGTATTTTCTTTCCTTTTATTTACACAATCTTTATTTGGATTTCTGTTATGGGTATTTGGATATTTAAAGATCTACCAAAAATCACCTCTATATTCTAAATCTCATTAAATTAAGTATGGAACAACCATAAAAAGTTTGGCAACTTGTACTTAGTTGGGTGCTCTCACTGCTATGATGACCACCCGTGTATGTGAGGTTTTCTAAAGGCTTTAAATATAAACCTGTGGTCAGTTAGCACTGCCATTTAACATACAGCTCATGTGTTTCAGGGCCCTTAATTTGCAGATGTAAAAGTGGAGGTCAGATTACTTGGGATTCTATACTGTAGTATTTATGGAACAGGAGAAGATTGAGAGAGGGAAAGCGAAACAGTATAGATTTTTTTCGTAAGTCTGTACAACGATGTCATTTTTTTCTAATATTTTATGTAGAATTCAGGATTGCTGTTCATTTTTCACTTATGCAATTGGTATGTTTTCCTAATTATTATTCACCTGACAGAACGGACCTATAAATGCATGTGTGAATTTGGAAATCATTCATAACCCTTATTATTTTTAAAACATCCTATAAGATGACCATCGTAGTGTCACACTCCTATAGTGCCATATATGTTCATACCATGTCCCTTATTTGTTTTCAAGGACTGTTGGTGTTCGTTATCAAAGAGGTAGTTATTTTAGCTTAAAGAAAATAGAAGATTGTTAAAAATACTGTAATTATTTTATTTTACTTTTTTATGGGTAAAAACAATTTTTAATACTTGGGACGTCTGACATTTAGATTATTAAGTTTTATATCATTATCTATGAATAATAAAGGGCTGTATTGTTTGATAATCGTTTGCTAGAAGTTCTTAACAGTTATTGCCACGTAACAATTTTTCTAAATATTTAGTACCTTTGAAGCCTTCACAGCTACTCTAGGTACTGGGTTTATTAATATGAACACAGCATACATGTGAGTCTCCACAAGTGTCATTCTATCACAATATTAAAGTATCACTTCTCAGATAGTTATATTGAATTTAAAAGCCAACTAATATTTTTTTAGCTTCTCAGGTAATATTTATCTTTTAATGATTTCTCCACGTAATTTAATAATGTTTTACATAAAACAAATATCAAATATATAGTTTATTTTTATAAAGTAGCTGAAGTTCATATTGAATGAATAGTGCACGATTTTTCATTACTTGAACAGAATTGTTAAATACTATATACTAAAGTTTGTAATTTGTATTAACATACTAAAAACATAAGTTATGCATAAGAGTACACTTGTATAAAAATAACTAAAGGTTAAATTCTATGATATTCGGGTTCTGCAAAACAAAATTGTAGAGAAAATATAATCATATTTTTATTTGTATATTTTTGTCTTCATTTCTTGCTTGAACTACCCCCAGGGCCTTCACACTGAGCTATATCCCCCCCCTGCATTATAAAAATAATTTTTCAAGTAAGGCCTCACTATAAAGTGCTTCTTACAACCTAAATTATAGTGGTTAGAAATTGTGCCTGATAAGTGTAGTTAAGTGTTAAATACTGAAGACATCACATAAATGATTAATTATCAACCTTTTAGTGTTATTCTTATGAACATTGTAGGAATATTTTTAAATTTGTAATTTTATGAATACTTAAATCAAAATATCAATTTTTGTACATCTGAGACATGGGATATTATAAAATTTTATATATACAATGTTGAAAGATTAATGTCATGTATAAGTTAAATTTCTTGCACAAAAATATCACTAATATTATTTTCAAAAGGACATTTTCCATGTTTCTACTAATGTTTACTTTTAAAATTTGGTTATGGGGGATAAAATTACGTTATGTGTCTCCTTAAGGACTGTGACAGATTTTTAGTATTGTATGTCTAGTTTTATCAAATTAAGTAAAATCATGGCAGAAAGAGTGGATTAGGCATCTTCACCCCTTTCCTCTAATTCCAGTTTTTATAATTGAGACAGGGTCAAATAAGACAATGAATAAAAAACTGAACTACTCATTCTTTTAACATGATACTAAGAGTAATATGACTATAGGAAGGATCTCTTATCTTCCAACTGACTGTAAAGCTGTGTGTTGTATAGTCAAAATAAATCAATTTTACTCTATTACCTGAACCTCCTTGAATCAATCAGAAAGTAATGTTTTTTCATAGATCATTTTTCTAAGTGAAAGCATGAAAATATAGTCTTGCTTCATGTGCAAGTCAACTATGAATATACATGTTACAATAGTTGGTAACCACCAGAGGTCCATTTATTAAAAAAAATTACTCTGCTTTAGCAAAAATATTTTATAGTTTAACCGAGTTAATGCATCTCTCAGTGTGTACTCATGTTTATGAAGACAGTTACTTTTGTGTGTGTGTGTGTGTGTTTTTAAGACAGGGTCTTGCTGTGCAGTTCAGGCTGGCCTTGAGCTCACTTTGTAGACTGGGCTGGTCTCAAAACTCTCAACGATCCTCCTGCCACAGCCTCATGAGTGCTGGGATTACAGGCATGAGCCACCATGCCTGGCATGAAGACAATTAATTACATGGGTAATTCGTTAAGTCAAGATAGATTTTGAGTGCATAAGTTACACTATATGTCAACCAAATCCTAGCAAGTCTCTTATTTGTACCCTTCACTCAGCATTTATTGGGGGTATAAACATGGTGGAGATTGATGTATATATTTCAGTAACAAAATAGTTTGAATTTGCTCAGTGTACATTGTTAGTAATCAAATTCTACACCCACAGAAAGATTACATTTCTTATATGTCTATAGCTATCTATTAAGCTTATGATTTCAATAGATGTCAATGTTTAATAGACTTTAAATTGAAAATAAGTTGCATTTGCTCTTGCATTATTTTTTGATGAATGTAAAATTTAGGTAGAGAAAAGTGCTAATGCAGGCAGACATGTTTTGTATCTTTATGGAGTAAAAAAAATTAAATTAATAAAAAATTATAATGGTTGTTGAAATTCTGTGGATGAGCAGTGACACCCTATAACCAGAACGGGAAAGTTGGAAATGCATGTGCTTTGGGATGATATTTCAGCCTCTTTCTTAGGGAAGAGAAAGAAATAAATCTGAGGAGTGGAAAGATGTATATTGAAAGTAGGAGAAACTCCCTGAGCAGTGGAGAAATGAGCTTGAGGTATTTGAAGAATTCAGTCCAGGATAAGTAGAATTTACCAAGCAAGGAAGGGAGATGCAGAAAGAGAGGTATGAACGATAATAATCAGAGTCTGTGAAGGGGAGGGAGAGAAAAATAACACTAAGGAGTTGAGTATTATCCCAAGAAAAATATGAGCTGGGAGATACCCAGTAAAATGATATCCAGTAAAATGAGCCATTTTATATTTTAAGAACACCATGACTTGTAAGCAAAGAGATAATTGGGAAAGAGGAGGATGAAGAGTCCTCTGTAGTTAGGAGAATAGTCATGTGGCGGCCAGCAAAAATAGCAGGTAGACCTGTGCTACATTTTATAGGTAGAATTTATGGGACTAAATTGATTCTACAGTGGTACCTCGGTTCCCCAAAAAAGCACGTGGCAAGGTTTTGTACATTTGCAAACTGCATCAGGTGACAAACACTACCATGACCATCTTTCCCATATAAACACAACGTGACCATGTTTTATAAAATCATAGAGCAATACAAGTTCATAAACCAAAGCACCACTATAAATAAAGATATTGAATATTCTTTGAATTTTGTTTTTAAGGACCTCAAATAAGTGTTCCATTACTTTAACCATATTTTGTAATTTTTGACATTTGACCAGTGTGAAAAGAAATACGGGAAGCATATAAATGTAACAAATGTGGTGGGCTGCTCTCCCATTTTATTCAGCATAGATTATCATTTAAAACATAGAATAGTAAAATTTAGCTATTTCAAACAACATAAGAAACAAAGTCCACTCCTATTGGATCTGCAAGGGCAATTTGTTGATATTTTCTGGCACCTTGGCATTCGTCATGTAGTTATTTCTTGTCAGAGTGAATGATTGCACAGGTAGACAGGGACATCTTTAGAAGATAGTTTAGCAGTCCAGTAGGGTGGTTTAACTGATGAACACCAGTAAGCATTTGAGGGTTTGAGAATACACAAGTTTGACTCATCACTGTTAAAAACTAATTTTATTGGAAACAAAAATTGTAAGTAAAACAATACAAGATATAAAATGTTTTCAGATATTTTCCATTAGTCTTCTTTTCTCTCTGGATTTTTTTTAAAGAGAAAAAATAAGTTTTTAGGAAATCTTAGACCTAGTTAATGAAATTTAAAGATAGGTAGTATTCTTGGGGACTGA